TGGTTGGGCTATTCAAAACCAATACACACGATTATGAGTAGATAGATTGCACTTTAATTTTTGAACGGCTTGGGAGAGAATAAATGAAATGAGATGAGATCATATACAAGTCTAGAGGAACTTTATTTAATTAGGTTTAGCCTCTTATCTGAAATGCTAGACTGCCTAAAATTGCAAACAACCAGCCGCATGGCAGCACTTAGGTGACTGTAACTGCTCCGTAAGACCAGTCAATACTAAGTTAATGGAAGCTACAGACAACCAGCAATGCTGGCTCCCCAAGGTTATGTATTTGGAGTTTTATTAAAACAGCATCTCCAGGAGTGTTTTGCAAGGACTCGTTTCTAGTCAACATCAAATTATGAGCCCTTAAATACAAAATCTCATCTCTTACTAGTATATGATAGCAAACTATGATTGAATCTGATGTCATACTGCATACCTTGACTTGACCACTGTAGTGGAAGCAGTCCCATGTAAAGCCTGATAAATGGTAGAAACTGTTGTTAGCTTGACCGTAGGAACACTTCTTACTAACAGAGTTGTTCCACTACCACTGGAGATTAAGAGACCATACAAACCAACAAGGTCTAAACTGTATAAGCATTTGATATCAGACTGGGACCCATCCACGGAAGTTACAAGCAGGTGCAAAATGGAATATGCCAGTCCTACATTTAGAAGTGGGAATGATCAATATTGCTGCTTTGGTAACGGCAGATCTTTTGGAATGTCAGACAAAAGCATAGATAAAATTAACTGGTATTAGGAGGCAGAATTAATATAAGGCCACGTTCTCTAGGCTTCAAAAAACTTAAGAAACATACGACCCCAATTTCAACATACTCAAAACAGTATGTCCTTCCTTTTAAGTAATTTGAAACCACTACAAGTAAATGAAGAAAGAAATTCATATCATGCTCAATTAATTATTATCCGTAGCCAATCTATCTATCGTAGATCAAGCATGAAATTACAAAAGGTGTTCGCTACCTATTTTATGACTATCAAATCATTATAATGTACATCTCAGAGAAATAATGAGCAGATCATATTGAATCATGATTTCTTAACTAATAACAGCTGCACTTTCGAAAGAACATAACTGGGAGATGAAGAGTGGAAATCTAAAGAGAGTCAAACGTTCAGCCTCACATATCAGCATTCTACAAAAAATAAAAGGAGTTTCATACTACAAAAAGTACTTCATGCGATCATCTCTTCTCATGGCGTTGTATACAGCTTGAACCTGGCAGAAAAGAAGTTTCAGGTCAACAAATAATTACCAGGTGTTATCGACATCGTGTGCAAAATAATCAACATATCATTTAATAAGTGTAAATAAATTTAGATTTATCAGCCTTTTTTCCCTTTCCTTTTGCTTTCCAGTAAAAGCAACAGATGATATTTCTTCAATATCTTTTATGTTCTTGAGAGAAAGAAAGACCTGCTCGCTAGATACAACTTGAACAGGACCAATGTTGACTGACACATATTTGCCCCTCGAAGATAATTTCTGCCTCACTTGACCCTGGGAAAATAAGTAGGTTAATGCAATTAGATACTTGTTCATAGTACAAGCCCTAGCTGGATGATTTCAATTTGTCATGCAGATTCAGCAGCAAAGAAAAGATTGCCCAAAAATATTCATCATAACCGCAGTTATATTTATTTCTAAAAGACAACAAGTCTTTCAAGAACAGGAAAGCATTTTGAAACAATCAGCATCAGTTTGATAGGTCAAGTCTCTTAATTTCTTCACACCGCAATCAGTGAGAGTAAGACACCATTTCGGAGTGCAGTTGGACTGCACTTTTCTAAATTTTTAATTTTTTTTTTTGAAAAAGCCTCAAATTAATATTTTTTAGGTTTTTTTTTATAATGTTGATGTGCTGATGTCAAAAATGATAGAAACAATTATGAAAAAAATATTATTTTGATGTATTTTTCAAGTGAAAAGTACTTTGAAAAACAACCTTAACTACACTTTCAAATAGGCTCTAAAATAATTTCACCATGTAACAATAAATTTACAGCAATTTTATTCTTTTTTGCTGGACAAAACCGGTTAGACAAATGTGACCTTGAATATAAAATCTTGCCATGGAAGAGACCAAGAACAAAAGCATGACAAAAAGATTGACAGATCCATAATAGTAATCTTATTGAGAGATTAAGCTCTTTCCAACCAAGGTTCCTAGTGTTCTCTAAAAGTTTAAAGGTGAAGTCAACCATCAGGGTTGCAAGATCGAAGAAGACAAAAATTGTTTTATAGCCATGTTTCAAGGCATAATAATGATGACAGATAAAACATGTGGCATCTATTTCACATAGCAATGTCAGTAAAAGTTACAAACTCTTATATTTGCCAGAAGCTTCCAACACCAGCCCTTACAAAATCGTAGACCACTATTCTCTAGCCCCAAATGTTCACAACAACCAGCGCCAATTTGTGTCCAATGGACTGTTTCTCAATCAGGCCTTCCTCATTACCACTTGTTACAATTAACCAACATGTTAATATGGTCTCCATATTCTAGTCCCCATCATCCTAGGCTTTTATCAATGAGCTTCAAATCCTAGACCCACTCATGCTATTTGACGAGAAATGGCCTGATAATGCACCGCCCGTGGAAAAACACAGCTGATGCCAAAACTCTCTTCCATAATCTCAAACTATTTGATGGGCCAATTCACTACTCACATGCTATCATGAAGGTTGCCATTACAGCAGGATTAGCAGTCATTCCCTCAAAACTGGACTTGGAAAAATAAAGGCAATGACATCATTTATTTACCCATTCTGAAACCTAAAACCATGTTTTCCCTAATCTATTATATCAATTATTGAAAAACTAAACAAGATAACTTAAGTTGGTATAGATCAAGCAGTTTCAGCTTTCAGGTTTCTGCAGAAATTTCCTGTAGAAAACCACAATTAAGTTAACCAATCACTTTCTTTGAATACCTTGCCCTTCTGCCGTACATCAACAAACATTATAAATTAGCAATGCAGTCTACAAAAATTTATACTATCTCTAATTTCTGGACAAAGATGTCATGGCCAGAGATTCTCCACCTAAAATTTTCTTCATCAATCACTAGACCTTGAACTAATTATGCTAGTTGCAGAAGTCAACCATTAATTTCAATCACACAGGAGAAGTTCACAAAATGCAGAATGCTGGACCATCAACTCTGGCATGCACAAGATGCAGCTCAAAAAAGTTCTACTCATTATTAGCAGATAATAAGCACCTCTGTTCAGTAGCTGCTTTCTATGAGCATCCATTACATTTCAAATGTTTACAAAATTCTGATGCAGATTACATATTGGATGAGATCATTCAAAATATCTTATGGAAGAAAACTTATTCTGAGGAAGGCTAAATGAAGAGCCTGGAAAACCTTAAACAGTAACACTTCAAAAAAGGTTGCAGTAAAAACCCTGTGGGTGATTCTAAAAACAAAGGCATTCAACATCAACATGAAAGGAATAACACGTCTCCTCACAGTTGAATTCTTTTAATGCACCACTATCTTAAACATCTTTTCTATTACTGAATTGCAGCAGCGCTAAGAAAGGACATATACCTCAGGGATTGATTGTTGAATTACAGATTCAACAGCAATAACCATAGCTTGCACAAAATCATCACCTCCTGTACCAATTGTAGTAAATCCTCTAACTGTTGGATACGAATTTACCTGACAGGTAAGTGATATTACTTCTTAGATGCAAGATTTATAAGGGTTTGTTGAACACATAACGATAGTGATTGCAAGATTACAACTTCATAGCTTATGCGTAAAATAATAATCCGCATTTAGAATATGAAGACAATAAGGAATCTATTGCGTCACTAAAAAAAATCAATAAGCTAAATAATAATGAAAGGGGAGTAGAAATGGAGAGAGGCAAAGTAATTGTACCTTCTTATCCAAAGCAAGCCATTCATCAGTTGAATCATCTACTACCGTACCACCATTAAAAACATTTGTGGTTTGTCCGACCCTTGCCTGTATCTTTGACACCCCTGCATTCAACATCATCGGCTAAAGCATCTATCATCAATGTATGACGACTGACTACGCTTCTAACAAATCATAACAAAGGAACAAATGGAAGATACAGAGATACAACAAGAACCAACCCACGATAAACTTCAATTCAAAAACATAACCAACTCAATTAGATTCGAACTCATTAATTAATTGTCAAACTAATTCCAATTACCACTTGAATTGGTTAACTGAATTAAACTAAGCAAATGGTAAAGAAAAAGTTAGCACAAACCAGAAATAGCTTTAAGCACAGCTTCTTGAGGGGGTTCTTGATCCTGGTCACCTTCATTGTTATAAGAGCAGAAACAATTAACGAGAGCTGGTTTTGTTCTTCCAAAGCGATGAGATTCTGAAGCCCTAATGCTTGTTGTTTTACTGCTTGAAAATCCAACGGTTCTTGCTGGTGAGAAAGAATAGATGATGGCTCGGGTTGGATGGAGAGGTGATATCATCATCAGCCATGCTTCTGTTGTCAGAGCGGAACGCAGCACAATCCTGCACGCCATTTTTTTCCCTTCTTTTATTAAGATTACGGAGAACTATTTTGTGATAGGGAGTATTTATATACCTGTGTTGGGTTGGGTTGGGTTGGGTTTTAAGGCTTTTTAACTGTCCATTCAATGAATCAGTTTTCGCTTTCTCTCCACGTGGCTGCTCTGGATGGAGCAAGGGCTGCCCGCGTTTCTACCTTAAACCAGAGGTCAAAGTTAATATTTTGTAACCATGTTCTAAACAGTGTATTATTAAAATTTATTTTTTTAATGTTTTAATATTCAATTTTTTTTAAAAAAATAAAAACTATTAATGTTATATATTTTTAAATAAAAAATATTTTAAAAATAATTATTATTATATATTTAAAAATACAGTCAAACCAATTTAAAAAAAAATTAAATTCTTTAATTTCTTTTAAAAGAACTTTTAAAAATATACATGCTATTGAAACAAAAGGACTGTAGACAGCAACTCAAAACCTCTGCGCCCAATTCAAAAACCCTAAAAATCATTGAATAATAATCACTCCTCGTCGAAATGTACGGCTCCTATAAAGCCGTTACCGACGACACAGATCGAACGGAATTCCGAAAAACAGAGAAGAAGTACAAACTTTACTACGATCAAAATTCCAAAAGGTATGTCCCTATCTTTCCTTTTCTCAAGTAAAAGTGCCGTCGTTTGTGATTTTATCGGTTTAATCAATTAAACATTCTGATTTTTCAACAGGAAAAAGCAACCAAAACAAGTCGACTTATCAGAGGTTTTAGATTTCAAGTCATTTTTGGATTCTTATCATAAAAACGGGGAACTTCCTCCTGAAATTGTGGTTGTTGATTGCCGTTTTGATCGGCCCGTCTTCGGCTTGGAAAGTCAGCCTGGTATCATTTTTGTGTTTTAATTACTTTATGCTCTTTTGTTTAAAGAAAACCTAAATGGCGTGATTATCACTTGATGGAAGTAGTTACCTGTTTTATTTTTTATTTAGTTTTCTGTATAATCCAAATAAAGATTTATTGATTTTAGAGAAGTTTTTATGGAGAAAGATGAATTTTGCAGGTTTTTATTTCATTCCGGGGGCATTGAGTGTTGATGAACAATGCCGATGGATAAGGGAGAGCTTAATGAGTTTCCCTCAGCCTCCTAATAGAACGAATCATAATGCAATCTATGGGCCTATAAGTGACCTGTTTATTGCTGCGAAAGAGAGGAAAGTGTTGGTTGAGGATGAAAATATGCCTGCTAGTTCGGACTCTGTGTCAAATGGTTGTGTTGGCAATGGAGATACTCGTAGATGGAGTTTTTGTGAGGAAGATAGTATTCTGTTAAGAGGGAAGCCTTGTAAGCCCATTTCAGCTTCCGTCTTATTGCGGAAGTTGCGGTGGAGTACCCTTGGACTGCAATTTGATTGGTCTAAGGTGATTGCAGCTTCAGTGTTTTTCACTTTTGCAATTCCTGTCTACTAGTTTTGTGTTCTTCCATATTGACCTTTCGATTTCATGATACAGTAGGGAAGTACACACGCTCAAATTTAAGTTTCACTTAGTAGTTGTTAGAGCTTGTCCCTTGGGGCCATGCTGATTGACAGCAAGTATAGATCCTTTAACAATTATAAAGCATAGACTTTTCTTTCTTATGTAGCCTTCTTTCAGTTATGTAAGGTTGGCATTGTGACCCTTGGGTTTAGTTATTGTATACCACACCCCATCTATCTGCATTATGAATGCCATGGGATTTGATCACAGAATATACAATCTGGTATGATACAATCTTTCAATGTACTAACATTGTTATACCTTGGTTTTCTAAATAATGTATAGACACAAGTATGATTGTCAGCAGTAACGATTTAATTTGTTTTTAGTCTGAATTTTAAGAGGTTGTGCTTGAAGCTAGCAGTTCAGTTTAACTAGTTTGTCTTGAAACAATTGTCTACTCTTTTTGTGCAAAAAAAAGTTTTATCAACTTGCTGCTGTTTCAGAACACAGTGCGTGTAAGGATATACACCTTCAACCACTTAAATCTTGCTCTGCTCAAATCTGTATCAAGCCATTTTATGTGACTTGAGAATCAAGATGCCAGCTAGTCCTTCTCTTAGTTTATTTGTCTTCATCAACATTTTGGGCGTGTTGATTATTATACATGCAAACTCTCAACCCAACACATCTTTTAGAAGTTTCTCTTCTTTATGAATTGGAATGAATTTAAGTCTTTTTGTTTGTGGTGTAGCGTAACTACAATGTATCTCTTCCACATAACAAGATCCCTGATGAACTCTGTCAGTTTGCTAAAAAGTTGGCTGCTCCTGCGATGCCTGTGGGAGAAGAATTCCACCCAGAAGCTGCAATAGTAAACTATTTTGCATCAGGTAATTATTAATGGAAAGCTTGTTTATATCTTCCTTTTGTCTATTTCTTGTTTAATATTTATTGGCTTATGAGACCTAGTGCAATTGTAAGGTCGTGTGTTTGTTACTAGAAGTTAGCATGTTGAAACTGCAAGACAGCCTCCCTGCAGAAATAGGTGGAAAGTTGTGACACCTGACCTTCCCTAGACCCTAGCCATATGAAGAACCTCATGCATCGGAACCCCTTTTTCTTGGAAGTGTAATTAATGCACGCAATATTAGGTTGTTAACATCAGTTCAATTTCTTGGAAGTGTAATTAATGTGCACGATATATTTTACGTCACTGATCAGGAGATACACTAGGGGGCCACTTGGATGACATGGAAGCTGACTGGAGTAAACCTATTGTAAGCATGAGGTATTCTTTTTTCTATCATTTCTCCATGGTTTTCAATCCAAAGAAGAGGTTTTGATTGCTGACTTTAACCTTCTTTTCCCCTCAGTTTGGGTTGCAAGGCTATTTTCCTTTTAGGAGGAAAATCTAGAGAAGATCCACCTTTAGCAATGTTTCTCCGAAGTGGTGATGTGGTTCTCATGGCTGGAGAAGCACGAGAATGTTTTCATGGTAATTGAACTATAAACCTCTGGAATAATTTGAAACAAAGATCTGGATTATCTGAAGAAAAAAGTATTCATCTTTGTGTTTTACCTTGAAAGTTTTAACGTAACTGATGATGGGGAAAATTAATTGCATAGGAAACATTATTTTTTTATTTTCATTACATAGCTGAAAGTGTAGCTCAATCAATAGAACTTCGATAAGAAATTCATTTTTCTTGTGAAGTGATAGGTAGCTATTCATATATCGGTAGCTATTCATAACAGATGTAGAATTTTGTTACTATAGTGTTTGCAGCCAAAATTGGCACAATCCAACTTCCAAATTCCTGTGCTTAGCCATATCCTTCAGTGACTTGTGAATTCCTGCAAATTTGTATTTTTGCTTCTTAGTACTTTTCTTTGACTTCTGATTTCTGATTATTGTAGGTGTGCCTCGGATCTTCACTGACAAAGAAAATGCTGAAATCACAACCCTTGAATTGCATTTCTGTGATGAGAATGATATCTTAGAATACATCAGAACCTCGAGAATCAACATTAACATCAGACAAGTGTTTTGAGAGCAATAAATTTTCTCCCATAGATGTGAAACCTAATTTAAAGATTCAATTGGGAATGCTTTCATAGGAGAGATTAAAGGTGACAAGAGGACAGCATGATAGAAGACGTTGAAGATTTTTGTAGAATCATTTCTTTTGGTTCTTTTGATGACAGGGGTGGGTCTTGAACAGCTCACTCTCTCTCATTTAAAGAGGTTTATGTGGAATCATAATAACGATTTGTAAGGAATCAGTTGATTGTCCAGATGGGATAAGAGAGTGTTATTGAGAGAAGATACAAAAGAACAAGCTCTGACTATACAGTTAAAATGCTATTGAGTTGAGAGGAATTCAATTTATACTATTAGCAGATTGCTTCAAGAACACGACGATTGTGCTGCATCTTTGTAGTTACAAGTTTGTTTTTTTTTTTCTTGCTAAATTACCCAAAATTGCCCTGAACTTTGGGGCAAGTTAAATTTAATCCCTGAGCTTTTCTACCAAGATGTAAGGTTGTAGGGCTGGTCCATCCTGTCAGCATGGGGAGCCCAATGGTTCAGCACCTCAGATTTGACAATGGCCCCGAAACTCCTTATGGGGTGGCAATCAGGTCCTTGATTGTATGGTGGTGCTAGATAAGTTTGATCGTTTCTTTTTCTGTTTTACCAACTGCTAACCACTACTCTCTTGCACCCTAGTACTGTTAGTACGGGCTGCTAGATCTATCCTATTACTATAGTTCTCAGACCCGGTATAAGGTTAATCTGATTAAGGAATGGAATTTCGAGTTGCATGGATTCATTTGATTAATCTAAATCAATCTGAAAAAAAGTAAAAAAAAAATTGAAGTTTTAATATTTTATATAAAACAATTATGTAAATATAAATTATATATATTATAAATTATTAATTTTTATTACACATATACCATTTATTTAAAAAATAAAATAAAGGTCATGGTGGAAATATAACTGAATACAGGTCATTTTTGTCCTCACAAAATTTTTAATTTATTCTGTTATACATGGTTCGATATATATATATATATATAAAGGCCTTAGGAATTGCTTTTTCTTATATTTTAATGATGTATTACATTATATGTATGTATTGACCCATTCTATTCTATCATATTTAATTTTGTATAAGAAAATGGGTTTTCAGCTGAAGTGAGAAATAATGATAATTGATAATTTGCAAGTACCTCTCAGCAGAAGTTTATTGATGTATTACATTGTTTTTTGTTTTTTTTATTTTACTATTCATCGATCATTTTTTTTTAATTTTATATTTTAATATTATATTGTTTTGTGAATTAGACTTTGTAATTTTCTTTTATTTATGTTATGTTTATATCAGTCTTTTAATTTAGTTCTCTTTTTAATAAAACACTAAAGGATATAGTTAAATTATTGTAGCAACACTCAATAAATACTATTCATTGGAATAATGATGTATTTTAACAAAAAACAAATCAATTATGAATAGAGATGTATTTAAAAAAAATTCAATTTCATCCTTCAACGAATTTTTTTTTTATCCTTAAGTATTAGGCTATTTTAGAAATTAAGTTTTATATTTTTTATACTGGGTTATCTATTGGTGTCATGAATTTAGTTTTTTCTTTTCTTGATTTCAATCTCCAGTTTTTTTTTTAAATGAATTTATCTTTATCTCATGCCCAGGTCACAATTTTATCAAGTTGACTTAGTTTTTTTAATTAATTTTTTTTATTTCATCCTTCAACATTATGATAATTAATAAATAAACTATGTTATTTTTTATATAAAAATATAGGGTTATCTCATCTTATGATCTATGTCGCAGCTTGATCAGTTGACTATGTTTATTTTTTTAATTTCACCATCTAACAACTTGATCTTCTTCATTTTTATATATTTTTTAATTTTATTATTTAATATTATATTATCTAAGAATTGAGTTTTATAATTTTTTTCAACTTCTTTTGTGCAGAATTACCTTGGTCTTATGGACTTGAGTTTTTTTTTTCAACTTTTAACATTAGTTATGTTTGAATTGAGACTTTATAATTTTTTTTTTATTTTTTAAGAAGTTATTATTATTTAATGATTAAGATCACAGGTTTAACAAGTTAGTTTATATTGACTTGAATTATTTTTTTATTTTTTTTTAATTATTTTTTTATCCTTTAACATTGAGTTAATTGAAAGTTAAGATTTATAATTTTTATATTTATTTTATGCAGGGTTATCCTACCCTCATAGCTTAGGTTACAGGCTTGACAAATTAAATTAGTTAGATTTAAATAGTTTATTTATTTATTTTTTTAACATTGAGTTAATTATAAATTGATTTTCATGATTTATTTTAATTTTTTATATAAAATTATCATGATTTGTTTTAATTTTTTATATAAAATTATCATGATTTTATAATTTAAACTATAAAATTAAAAAATTAATCAAAGTCGATTTAATATATCAAGATCTCAATATTTAAAAAGTAAATATCAATATTAATATCATTCTATATATATTATGTTTCGAGCTCATTGTAACTTTTCTATATTAAAAAACACATAAAAAAATACTTTGTAATGTTTTTCCATATAAAAAAAAAACCAACAGCACGAAACAGTTACATGACAAGCTTACATACCAAATCATACGAGGATGCTCATTCCCAAGTACGAAATCAGCTAACGTACTGCTCATCGCGGATCAAATATACTGTTTTTGCCTGGAAGGTTCATGCATAATGAAGCAAGTGGTACATTGGACTGGACTCGTTCCAAGTCAACAGGAAAAGCGTTCAGCCAGAAGGAAAACATTCAGCAAAGAGGTATAAAAGTTATTGACTCGCATGCTGCTCTATTCTAACCTTTGAAATGGAGTCAACAATTTGTTAATAAACTATAGACTCCTGTATACACAAGTGTTTTAATGCAGGGGGCCGATCTTTGCCTTCAATTAACGGATAATAAGTTTGGAAGTGCATTCAGTGCAAAGAACTTTTACCAGCCTTCCAGTCTCTGTCTAGATGGCTGGTTTGTTTTTGACTGGACAAAAAAAGTTAACCCAATCACTGTTCAAGATATATAGCTGGTGTGAGAGTAAGCAGGATTTTTTCCCCTTTTTTATGATGGAAAAAACCCTATCCACTCCATATGGTGTTTGAGGACTTCAGCAATCTAGATACAAGAAATAGAAAATCCTGAGTTTTAATTTCTTTTGTCTGTTTGGGTGGAGGACAGGACAGTTTTATGATAGGACCAGCAAAATATGGAACATGGATATTTGGATAAAAGGAGTGGCACGAGCATAGTTGTTAAACCAACATTAGAGTCCCCTTTTTTTTTTCATATTGAAAAGTAATAAAAATGGAAGGTGTTAATCTTTTTATCATCCTGGCATCAAGTTATTTTTCCATAGGACCTTCCTTAGAGTATCTTCATTATAATAGAGTTTAATTATCAAGTTCAAACCATGGACGAAGAAATGCGTGAAAAAAAAAATTATCTAGTAATTGTGCGGCCTAAAGCTTGGGTTATAAATTTATTTGGGTTAATTCAAATCAATTTTTTTAAATAAATTCTAAACAATATCATATATATAAAAAAATGAGTTTTGATAGGGATGATGATATAACTCTTAATTATTTTATTTTATTTTTTACACCCAACCATCCGGAGAAGTCAGCCGACTGGCACAAGCAAAAAATGTAAACGTGAGCTCACACAAAGATAAAATAAATAAATAAAACCCCAACTTAAACAACGATATCTACCGACGCCCCCCAAAAAGCATAAAATAAACACCTTCATTACCCTCCAAAATAAATAATTCAAAGCCACGACCAAACACTCACGCGTCTACGTGTACATTTCTACTACCACTCTATTTCCTTGTCTTAAAATCACAATAAAACACACCGTAATTTACCCCCCAGAAGACACATATCACAATACAGTCTTACACGGCTCATCTCTCTCTCTCTCTCTCTCTCTCCCTTATCGTTTTTGTTCTCGGAAGAATAATGGGACCGATCGTTCTGAGCCAGTTGGCCACGGGTCTTAGTGTGCTCGCCGGGGCTGTTCTGGTTAAATCGGTTATGGACCAGAAGCCCATGGCCGGCCCGTTGTGCCCATCTTGCAACGGGACGGGTCGGGTCGCTTGTCTTTGTTCCCGTTGGTCCGATGGAGATTCTGGTTGCCGGGCTTGTTCCGGTTCGGGTCGCATGGCGTGTAGTAGCTGCGGAGGGACCGGTACCGGCCGGCCGCTTCCGGTTCAAATCTCTATGCGGTCACCGAACCGTCCTCCATCTTGACCTGCTCGAGTATTTATTTCGGGTCCGTTATTGTAGCTAGTATTGATTAATTGTCTCTCTTCTTATATTTTTATGTAAACTTCTTTTCCTTTCTGAATCTTTTCCAGTTTGGAAAATTTTTAATTTGTAATATAATATAAGTTGAAGGGACACTTGAATGGAGGAAGGGAGATCAGATGGAACTTGGAAGGTGAGTAGTTTGTAACTTGTAATGACAATATTTAATATATTGAGTACTCAGATTCTTATAAAAAAATGATAATGGATAGGTTTATACCCGTTGAATTCTTCTTTGCTTACGATGTTAATTTTCAATCAGTAATGATTCTATAGCCAGTTTCTGTTGTTAATAATTTTAAAAATATAAAGAAATTATTCTAAATATAATTTATTTTATGTTTCTGTTTCGTTCTTCGATCAAAACCTTGAATGCTGAATGTAGTTGGAGAGATTTTTTTGCATGTGTTCTCTTTAAACGAGTTTAAGAAAATCATACTTGTGCGTGGATTTTGATTTAATTCCAGATGGCTGGGAACTTAATATATTTCAAGCGGATAGGCATGTCCTCATTTATCATATTCACTTACTGATTATGTATGTCTTGGAGTGCATTTTGCTTTCTTTCAGATCGGAAGGTATTTGCTTTCCATGGGCTACGGCGGTAAGATTCGAAAAACAGCTTGCCAAATTATTATAAAGTTAATACAACACCAATTTTGGAGCTTTATTAGATAGTTTAATCGTTTTTTTTTTAACTGGATGGACTCTTTCGGCTAATTTGGAGCTGTTTAATGAAAACTAATTTTCAATTTCCTTAATGTTTTCCTTAAAACTCTTATTAGTTAGAGTTTTTTATTGTTATTACGGAAAAAAAGCCTCGAACACGAGATCTCTTAGGAGAAAAGGGTGCGATTGTTTAGCCATCCAGCCTATACTTCGTCGTTTCTTCGACTAGATATCAACCATTCCATTTCAGATTCAGGGTGAGTTTGTTTAGCCTTAGGTTTTGCATTTATAGAATAAAAAATACAGTAAAATATACTCAATTTTATTTTATGCTTTGTTATTCATTAAAAAATTAAGTTTAAAATACAGTTTTTATATAATTTTTAATTAAATTTCATAAAATTATGTTTATTTTTGCATTTCAAAAACATTTTTTTAAATTTAAAGTTTTTATTTTTTCTTTACTATAAATTATTTTTTTATATTTTCAGATTATTTTGATGTGTTAATATTAAAAATAATTTTTAAAAAATAAAAATATATATATTTTGATGCATTTCTAAACAACCAAATAATTTATACATATTTTTTAATACATATAAATCTTAACCATAATTTTACCAAAAATATATTTAAACCTACCATAATTTTTTAATACGGATATTCGAATGAAGTTTGATGTGCTTTAAGTGCTTGTGTCCTTTGTGGTGCCTGAACTGGATGCTTGTCTAGTGGTGAGCTTTGTCGGATGTCGAGAAGTTCCGAGGGGATAACATGCCTGTAGGTATGAGATACCAGCGGTGATAATTGAATTGCATGCTCCAGCATTTACCAAGCAAGTGCCTGTAGGTATGTGTTTTACTCCAGCCCAAGATTACCATTTCAAATTTATTGGTGGTTCAATTAGTGTTTATATATTCTGTCATTTTCCTGATGTGAATCATCCAAGATTCCTTTTCTTAAAGAGATTTAGTCTCTTTATCCAGAAGCTGGCTGGAGGGTGTTCTCCCTATTAGAACACAAAAAATAGTAATTAAAAAAAACTAGCGTGTCCCAGTTAAAACAAAGCTTCTTGGAGAACAATTTTTGAAGTTTTGTACCGTGATGGGCGTACCTTCTTTGATAAAATGCTGGTGTGCAGAAGCTGGCATCCAAAACGGATCCTATAAGAATTACTTTCCCGTTGAAAACAGCCGAAAAGATAAAGAAAAACCATTAATAATAACCAAAGAAAATTTAAAGTGGAAGAGTTTGATTCCCCCTTCCCGTCCATCGATAGTCACAAATCATTATGATATTATTGAGAATTAAAGCTCCATATGCTTGAATCTCTATAACTTCCGCCTATGAAATTGACAAAGACAGCATAATATGATACTCGATCAACAAGAAGAAATTCATCACTTAAAATAAGTTTTAGATAGTTGATTGACGAACGAGAAGATAATAGCTAAAATGACGGTTATCTGGGTTGGGCTTTCCTTTTGCCCCTTGCCTACGAGATGCTCGTAGGCCTGCTTTCTTTCCTTGTTCCCTGGGTCTTAGGCCCAACGTTTGGGTCTCTAGGCTAGGACCCAGTCTTATTGATGGTCCTTTGGACCAAATCCCAGCCCTGTCAATGTGTATGATACTTCTGCCGAAAATCTTCTGTAGCAAAGTACTCAACATTTGAATAAAGTGTACTGAAGATGAGAATTGGGAAATTTATAGGATCAGTATGTTTTTTTCCTTCTTAAATTTATGAACTGATATACTGTTTGTTAGGAGTGAAGAACAGTGGTTAATACCCATTTTGGCAGGAGAGCAATGTGCACACCACAACAAATATGAAGGATTATTTTAATCATCTCCTACATGAAATGTGAACAAATTTATCTCCAAACGAATCCTAAAAACTAGATGTACGACTGTAGAAGTCAAGAGATTGCTAGCGATGAGCCAAAAACTCATTGGTTTTTTGCAGGAGGGGTTGCGTGAGGCAGGCTACTTTGCCTCCTATACTGATGGAGACACGTTGCCCGCTTGCTAAACAATATGTAAAATTTAAGAAATTAAACAGGAAAAAAGGAAGAGGAAATCAAGAAGAACATGAAAGCGTGTAGCCTAGAGTGCAAGTTATATACATGAAAGATGAATATGATGATCTGCCAATAGCTTTGTCATAGATTCAGGAATTCTCCAAGTCATAGAGAAATGAACTATAGCTGCGATTTCACAGTCTACGCTCTTATAATAACAAAAAATTTGGTCTTCATTTAACAAAGATCTATGCTAAGTGATTACCTATCAATTGATTCCTCCCAAAATGTGCAAGAATCTCTCTCCTTTATTTTTATGGGTCACCGGTCAGGTCTATGGGTCCCGTCTCAACTGGCAATCCCATCAAAATTGTTAGGTGTCCGTTCGAAATTTATCTGATTTACAACCGCAGGGTTTGTCCTACGTGATTCACTCGAAAGAAAGGAGATCAGACTCGGATTTGAATGTAGACATGGCTTTTTCAAAATGGTTTTTAGAAACAAATGATTTAAATCTACCTCAAGTACATAGCCCTCCATTTAATTTCTCAGTTTAATGTTGTGTTCTGCTTTGACGGCCAAGTGTCGCCTTACTTTTCCGCAGTATTGGCATCTGTTCTGTATTCAATAATTGATTTGAGCTATTGTTAATTTGCATATTCTTAAAATGGATCCTCTACGCTAATTGTTCTACTTTACTCGTATTAATTGGTTCGGTGGCGTATGGAGTAAAATGCCATGCCACCGCTCGCTGTTTCCAAAATTGATGTATGGGCAGTGAGATAGTTGGAGATGAGTTCTGAAGTTTCATGTGATTCGGAACGGTTGCTTTTCTGGGCAACTTTTGTTACTAGCTCAAATATATCGGTGACATCTAAGTTCAAGGGGTGGTTTTTGTACATTGCAACAGCACTCTATGAGAAATCGTAGTTATCAGACATTACAAGTTCTAATAATGATACAAAGGTTCTATCGACAAATATTTCTTTAAGCTCCTTCCTTAGGGAAGCATGCTCGCCGGCGTTTCTCACTTGGGGGTAAAAGCCTGAAACACACCATTTAAAATAGTTAGCTTAATTTAAAACAACTTGTTCTCGCTGCATTATTTACAAATTACTGTTATTGTTTGAAGTTTTAGGGGTGCACTCACAGCAAAAACGGTGGCGTGACCAGGATCTGCTAGGTGAGCAAAGAGGTTGTCAATAGGACCGGTGCCAGTGTAAATGTGTTGGAACCAAGCACCCATCACAGCCAACATAGCCAATCTTCCATTCTTGATCTCCTTTGTCCTCAATTCCTTGATCTTCTCGGGAGAACCACTGCCCCATCCAAGTGGGTCAAACCATAGCCCACCTGGGTAACCAACATCTGTACCAGTGAGTTTGTTGTTAGGGAAGATAGGATCAGTGTTAACGCACCCTGGCTTGAGAATATCAGCCCATCTTCTTCCCTCGGCCCAGCCTATAAAGATTAACTCAACAATGAAGAGTGTGGTGGTGTCAGTGAAGTATTCAAGTTCTCCAGCAGTGTACCATGAGGGGGTGTTTAGGATGCCAATCTTTGTTAGGAATTCTGGGATGAAAATACCAGCAGCACCTAACATTGCCCATCTACAGTGAACAAGTTCTGCTTGCACATTCCATCTCAGAGTTTCAGGATCAGATCCTGTTTCAGACAAATCACAACTTGCATAAGTACTTCATGATTGGTTATATTGTGCAAGTGACTAACACCTAACGGTTTAGCTCTCACTCACCAAGACCTAGAGGATCAAAGCCAAAGTCTCCAGGGAGGCTGCAGTTGAGACATTCAAGCAAAACTTTAGAACGCTTAGCACAGTAATTGAGTCTTTACATCAATGACAAGAAAGAGGCTTTGGTTCTGAAGAACAAGTCATCAACTGACCTGCCATCAAGCCATGGAGGAGGGGTGCTGCCTGGGAACCAGAGGGGTCTATCAGGGTCAGCTGCAACACAAACTGTAACTGATCGAGCTGCGGTTGGTGACGTGTACGTCTTCAGTCTCAGTTTCTTTCCCCTAAGAAAAGAAGCCTTTGTTGACCCGACAAGGGATGCAGTCTTCTGGGAACTGCAATGTTTTATTTACATGACTCACTTCACTTAAAAAAATAAATACTCATGTTATTTTTCTAAGTCTTTGTTGTTTCATTATAAGCCTTGATTATACAAGTAACCAACATGTAATTAAGAATTAATCTAGAATGAAGCAGCACGATCAACTTAACTAATATTGAATCACGTCTAATACATGTTAAAAAGTTCAAGTATATGCCACACAGCTAACAGTTGTCAATAGCATCATAAGAGGTAGTCGTGATGGGATTTGAGAGAACTTGCCTGGAAGAAGAGATGGAAACGGCTGCAATGGCAGAAGAAGCGCAAACAGCAGCCATTTTTTTTATTTTTTTTTGCCAAAAGACTCTTCCAATCAGTTTGTGCAGTGTTCGAATGGCTTATGGAGGTGGGTTGCAAATCTGTTAATGCATGCCGAGGCTTATCTTCAAGGATAGGAGAAATAATGTCTAATTGGCTACTTGATTGCCAGGTGGCATGCAGAATCTGATAGCAAGCGCCTCTACCTCCACATCTTTTGCTTGCTTTGATGAATCATAAATTGGTGGCTAACATTCTATATATCTGAAAAATCAGTTGCAATTCGGGCCCATGGTGCCCTCTGTAATTTGTCAATACTTGATAATAGATTTTACAGGTGAAAGGGTGGAGATGCTACTCATTTGAAAGAATCTCACGGAATCGGACTGGCAAATAATTTAGAATGAGCTATAGCTCTCCAGGCAAGGGTGACAATGCGTGTATTCTTCCCCCTTTGCTAAAAGGATGGCCCATGTACGAGTTGATAGAAGCTCTCATGATAGGCCCTAGTAGCAACAATGGTCCGACTAGGAACATTGATTTAAAGGCCTAAGGCCTCAGCCTACGGTAAATAATCCCATTTGTGATCCCCAAATCTGTCTCTGGGCCTTGAGATTGCTTGAACTCAACAACCATCAAGAGCTCCAAAGTTCGAGAAGAATTATTGCCACAGGCATTGGATGGAACTTGTTTGGAAAATGCCCTTGTGGTAATTGCTCTATTAACTCTTAGCGATCCATTTAGTTCTTGAATGGTTATAAACCAGGAGAGGAATTGCTCCCTCGAGAGCCCAGACTTTCTCACATTAGCCTGGATCGTTCTGGGCCCAAGCAGATGGAAAAGCTTATCTTGTTCTTATCAGAAAAGAAAATAAAGGAACAGAGAGAGGCACGCAAAAAATCAAAGTACGAATCTCCTTGATCTTAACCTCACAAAACTACATTTGTTGGTTGGTGGAGAAAGTCACATGATGCCACACAACTTGGTTCCTAGAAAATCATAGCTCATTTGGTATCATAACAATGAAGAAAATAAAAGTCAGGTCCCCCAACCACACTCGAAGACGCAGTCTTATCCTTTTCTTCCAACTTGTCCTCCCAAGTCTAAAGTAGAAAAATCAAACAATCTGTACTTGTAGCCGTAGAAAAATCAACCAATTTGAAGAAAAACTATAAAGTGAAAATTTCATGAGTAAATCCAGATTCCTGCGTAAATCAGATCAATATTTTTAAAAAAAATTACAAAAAAAATTAACCTGCAAAAGCAAGCCATATCTGTTAACCTTTACCCAATCTTAATTAGGGATTGAGTGATTTTGAATGAATTTACCTGCAAGGGTTCATGTAACTTTTATACGGGTGATAATTAGGTTTTCCTCTGATGTTAAAGATGAGGAATATTGGCATAATTACGGAGCTAATCATCGGTGAATTGCTCTGAAAAATAAAGCACCGACCGGGGATCCGTTTGGTAGCCTTGTCATGCTTTCATTCAACTTTAAAACCAGGTTTACACATGCTTGACCACCACCACCCACCACCCACCACAAAGTGAAATCTGGGCCTTTTAAGGAAGCAAATGGTGGTGGTTAAGAGTATAGATACGCTATCTAATTACAAATAAATGCTTGAGGTCGACAGACATTATCAAAGCTTATTTGATAGGTGTTTAGCAAAATCACTTGGAAACACACCTTGGATTCCTTACTGTACTTCTCCATGCAGGCATGTGCTCGCTATTAGTACTGTAATTATTTCTTACAAGAATTATAGCAAGAAAACAATCTGCTAATTATGTCTCTTGAGAATTATTATAGCATTTTTTTTTTCAAAATTATAACACAGAAAATCTCTCCATCCCTTTCTGGTTTTTTTCTTTTTCTTTTTCTTTTTCTTACAGGACACATGAAAGGAGGCTCCATTAGCTTTCTATGATCATTTCATCTTTCAGGTCCCTTTCATTGTACCTTAGTAGCGGAGTCAACAAGCGAAGATACAGCAGTCCTCGGCATGATTGACTTGTGAGGGAGAGAGAGAACAATGATCCCTGTAGTGAGTTATGTTCTGAAAGGTACTAAATAATGGAACATTTGGTTGTTATAATGACTATAACAACTTTGCCAAACCTCTAAAAAGTACGATTATTGTGTCGGAGTTTTTCCTTCTGTTTTGGCCCCAAAGAAATTATGATGAAATTTATCAGTTTATGCTCACTAGCGAGCTCATCATCACATCTTCACATGCTGGAGTTTCTTAGTGCTCACCAGATTAGAACTTCAAGGAGTAATTGTGGGTTCAATCAACTTCTATTACCGACCAAGTCTACCAATCTCTTTGCTGATTTGAAGAAATGCTAAAATGGGATTGCTGAAATACTAATCTTCTGTTTTTTTTTTTTTTTTTTTTTTTTTTTTTTTTTAGGGGGGGGGAGCACTGATTGCCCTGACGAGAGAACATTTGCCATCACCTAATTGCTTGAATGCTTAGCCCAGCTTTTGTAGGGCAGGCTATAATTTTGACAAGTTATTATAGCATCAGCATCACATTTATACACGGTATTGGTTGCTCCTATTTTGCTTTTGGACCTGGATTTTCCTAGCTAATAGAGAGTTTGCTCGCAAGATTAGCAGATAAAGTGAACGGGGTTTCAAAATGGCAACCTACTTGAATCTTCTTTTGTGATCAATGATGCGAACTTTTAATGATAGCCATGGAACAAATCAAGCATCCTGAAAAGCCTATTGCCATGATCACCAAACGATCATCAATGAGGAAATAAGCATGTCAAAAGCTAAGCACATAATCACTGATAAGGAAAACAACATCAACAGGGGTCCATGCCCTTGGTGTCTCATGATCTTTCTACTACCGTTGGATAGCCATTCCGAAGGACTTTAAATTTCGTTCAAACACTAATTAAACTAACATTTTTTCTCTCCTTAGGGCCTCATATTTCTTGCATTCAATAAATACATGAACTTGTTCTCACCCAAGTGAAAATGTATGCATACCCAGATATATGATCCGTCATGATGATGAGAATGGTGTCAAGGTCCTTAATGATGAACAAGAATGTGTTTGCCATTATAGTTATGTGATCACTGTCATCAAAAGAAATGTTATTTCCGGCCAGGAGAAAGAAAGACGACACGACCATATTATTACTCACAATCAAAATCTTAATAATGTTGCACGGTATGGACATTACAGAGACTTGCAAAAAAGCAAACCAAACAATATCTTTTCTTGTAGTTTAAGCAGCCAGCCGCTCCAGATCTAGTTGAAACTCTTTTAAGTCCTATAAATTTCATATGGTTGACATTGATTATCTGGATAAACCCTATCTGAAAGATGTGGCGTAGACTTGAAATATAAAATATAATCATTTTTCCGTTTGTAATCGTTTAATTACTCATTTATTTATTTATTTTTGACAATCAATGTCCATAAGTAACTTAGCCCTCTTGCATTTTTCCTGAAATCATCACTTCTAAAGCCGGCTTCAGTAGCGTTCTCTTGTGCTCAATTATTATCATCCATTCTTGATACTTACTTCATCCAACCCTTTAAATTTTATTCAAGTTGTCCCGTAAACGCCCTCGATTGCAATCCTTGGCAGGCTGTAACGCGAACATAGTAATTAGAGTGACTTGCACAGTGACGGATTATCATCGATAATTATTTTACAATCCCCCAGAAGAGTGGCATTTTAACAACAAGTTGGAAGTCAAATCCTTTATCCACAACATATAATTAACGAAAGCTAAAACACGAGAGATTTCTGCAGAAGCATGTAACTGGAATAGTCTTTTCAAGGTTTTGCTTTCCCACCGAAAAAATAATAATATAAAACTAGCTGTTAGAGGTATTAAAAGATTTTCATAAGGCTTAATAGTTATTACCAAATTGATTAGGAAGAAATAAAAATTTCACATTTCAATAGCACAGCAAAAACATTAAAATATTTTTTAAAACAAAAAAATAAAAAAAAGGTTTTTTTGTACTTTCACAATTATTTTTTTTTAATTATCAGCTTAGATAAGAAACAATTTGGTATTTGATAAGAAAAAAATAACACATACACCAAATTAACCACAAATATTTTGAAACAAAAAAAAATTAAAATTGATCTCAGGTGCTTATAGTATTTTTCACAATGGTTTTTTTATCATTATTAACAAGTCAACCAAAAGGATAATTTAACATTTAAAATAATATTTTAAAAAACAAGGAAAATACCGATATGTCCTCTTGCTATTGAGGGTACGCATATTGGTCATGGTTGAGTAGTTTGTGCCTAGTGGAGCAATTTTTTTCTCTTCTTTCCTTAAAATGCCAGCTTGGTCCTCTTTAACAGTATTTAAACTTTATTATTTATTTTTTAATTTTTTAATTTTTTTGGTCCTTTTAGAAAAAAATTATTTATTTTCAATCTCATCCTTCAACCTCAATTTATCTTATATTATCATTTTCAATTTAATTTTTATTTTTTTATTTTTTTATTAGCTCTTTACAAAAAGTTTTATTTGTTTTCATTTTTATCTTTCAATAAAGATTTATAGTATACTATTTTTACCAATATGATCTTTATTTTTTTAAAGTTTTTTTTGTTAAAATTATTTTTCTTCTCAAGTTCGACCTTCAAACAATATTTTTTTTTTATATCAATTTTGATTCTCGTTCTTTTGATTATTTTTTTATCATTTTGCTAAATTAATTTTTTTTTGCAATTTCACACTTCATATTTTGTATTTCAATTTTGATCTTTGTTCTTTTTGTTGTTATTTTTTAATCTTTTTGTGCAATAGTATTTTTTAATTATTTTTTAATTTTATCTTTTAATATTTAATTAATTGAGAATTAAATTTAATAGTTTTTCAAATAAAATGTTTTTAAACTCATCTGGTCACAAGTTTAAAAATTTAATGTAAGTTGGTATTTTTTTAAAATTGTCTTTGTAATTTTTTTATTTTTTCTATCAAATATTTTTATTTCATAATTTGGACCAAGGGTTTGGGTTCTAAACAAGTTTACTCAACCCTAATTACTAGGATTATAAGTTTTCCATATTAACTTAGATTAAATAACATTTTTTTATCCTATTTTATT